CAATTAGAGTAAACTAATAGGTATGAAAGAAATGAATGGTATGCCATCTATTGACAAAATTACGAATTTTAACCAAATGATTGGTAAAATAATATTAAAGTAGACAAAACAAATACTGACCAAAAAGAATATCTTGATTCTAGTTTTAGATTAAATGGGAGGCCATTGAAGATGGAATGGTTCCTCTTGGATGGTACAAGTACCCCAGAGCACTGAACCAACGTTATCGGGACATTTCTAGAACCTATGCTTTTGTTTCTAGCTTCACCCCCCGGTTACTGTATGTGCATGCAATTGATGACCACATGATAGGGTCAGAGCAATTAATAGAGAGAACATCATACAGATGCTTACAGCCACATTTCTATAATAGGACATACATCAGATTAGTATAGTCGTAGGAAATTTTATTTAACCAATTCGAGTCTCAAAAGAAATATAATTTTTTTTGTAATATAATATTTTTATTATTATTAATGAATAACATAGTGGGTTTTTTATACGATGTATAATGTGTGACTGTGAATATGTAGCACAAACTACAAATTTTAACCAAATGATTGGTAAAATAATATTAAAAGTAGACAAAACAAATGTGGAGTAAATTACATTTCCTAATTAAAATTGGTATTATATGGATATTACTTTGAATTAATAAGAAATAAAACAATGGAATAAAAAAACGAAATATAAAATTAGAGTGAGGAAGTTACATCCTTGATGGATCGATATTTTATAATTCCTTTATATAGTAGTACATTTCCTACATTCCAATATATGCAATTCACAAAAGGTGGTTTAATATTGCACTTGAATAACCAAAATGACACATTAACTAATCATTATGAAAATTCACAGGTATTTTAGTTGATATTTGTATCACATCTTGCCAGCTTACAGAAGAGATGCTCATAATAAGAAATAATTTTTGGAAAATAAATGTACTTACCGCACTTTAATTAGCAGCAAGTAATAAATTTTGTTATAAAAGATATGAAGGATGCGCCATCTGTTGAGAGAAAACCCTAAAATACGAATTTTAACCAAACTAATCTTAATTTTTTTGTATGTGCAATAAATACTTCAAGTGATTGGAAAAACATTTTCATTGTATTTTTAGATTAAATTGGAGGCCAGTTAAGAAGGAATGGTTCCTCCTGGATGGTACAAGTACCCCGGAGCACTGGATCAACGTTAAGGGGAGATTTCCAGAACCCACGCTTTCCAACTTCACCCCGGGTTACTGTATGTGAATACAATCAATAACTCCATGCCAGGATCAGAGGATTAAAAGGGAGGACATCATACGGATCCTAGGCCATAAAGTATGATACCACGTATACACGTACAGCTCCAGGCTCAGCCCCACTGAAGATTTAAAGAAAAGAAGACCACTATATAATGTATTGTTTTGATAATTACGAAACTGATGTTATTAAACTCATACATCAATAGCATATACACAGATCTATCA